ATCGCATTTCACATGTTGTAATTCTTTGCTCTAATGTCTTGTTCGTGGTCCATGTTTGGCATTGATAGGTGAGTGTAGGAATAAATGTAGTGTTGATTATTTTGTTGTCATGGGGATGTTAGGATGTTTCAGTGGTGGAGTAAGCCGGTAACTAACATTATTAGCCTTTTGTACTCGTGTTTCAATTTCTCTGTTCTGTCGCCCATCCTCTGTGAATATACCTCCGAGGTACCTAAATTCTTGGACCTGTCTGAGACTGTTTTTGATGATGTAAATCCTGATTGGTCCTGGATTTTTTCTTTCTTTCATTGTCTCCGTTTCGTTGATGTTGATCTTCATTTCGTAGTTGTTACATTCTTCATTTAATCTGGTGGTGTAGTGTTAGAAACTTCGTTCATCTTTGTGTGCCAGGCTTTGTCCATCAGCGAAGAGTAATTCATTTAGGGCGTCTAGTTCTGTGTTGGCCTCTTTTGTAGTTCTATCCTTATATATGATAAATAGTAGTGGTGATAGGACACAACCTTGTCTTACTCCGGATGTTATCTCGAACGATTCTGTGAGTCCCTCCGACGTTCTTACTGTACGTATACTGTTCTCGTAAATTGCATGGATTCCATCTAGAAGTTGGCCTCTTACAGTGTAGTTTTCGAGTTTTTTCCACAACTTGTTTCTGTTCACTCTGTCGAACGCTTTCTCCTGGTCGATAAACACTATATTTAGTTCTCTGTTGTGTTCTATTGCTCTTTTGCGCATTTATCGTAGGACAAATATTGCGTCTGTGCATCCTCTTCCCTTTCTAAATCCCATTTGGGCCTCACTCAGAAATTTTCAACTTTGTGTCTTGTTCGCCATTCCAATATCTTGGCGAACATCTTGCCCACATGGCTTAGCAGTGAAATGCCTCTAGATCTATACATTCCACGGTCTCTCCTACTGCCTTTCTTCTTCCAGATTGGAACTATGACCGCTTTTTGCCTGTCGCCGGGAACTTTCTGGAAGGTTTTTGTGAGCCAAGTTATTCTAACTTCACCACAGGCTAGGACGGTCTCCGTGGTGAGCTCATCTATTCCTGTGCTTCAGTTTTGTTTTTTGTTGCTTTTTTTTTGGGGGGGGGGCTGGTTTTAACTGCTTGTCTGACCTCTGATGGTAGGATAGTTGGTTCTTCTTTCTCTGGGTGATTTGGCTTGCATCAGTCCGTTTCTTTCTTTCATTGTTCTTTTAGCAATAAATAATCCTCTGTCGGCTTGCTAGGCCTGTCACAGTTTCACAAGAGCCCCGTTAGCCTGCAACTTTTCGGGTGACCCGGGTTCTCCTTCACGGCTAGCGTGACGCCTCGGTGGCATAAAGCCACACTGTACTTCGTTGAACCCAGCAATCCCCTACTTTGTCCAGTTGGTAGTAATAATAAAAATAACAATGACAATAAAATAATTGTAGTTATAATTATAATAACAATAATAATAATAACAACAGC